CTACTCTGGACTAAATTGGTTCACCTCAATAGATTTTAGAGGATTCGAGAAATAGTGCCATCTGACGTAGAGGCGGAACTATTACCAGGATTCATCGATATTACAGGAACCATCATAGAGCATTTGGTCATAGCTAATGATGCGTTGATACTGTACATAAAGTATTGGTGTTTAACTAATGGTAGCTGTCTTTTCTGTAGGATGGAGGATTTCAAGACCAGGGGGCACATTTTTAAGGAGAGAAGAGAGAGATTTTAAAAAGGCATGAGGGGCAAATGTTTTACACAAAGGGTGATTTGCATGTGGAATGAACTTCCAGAGGAAGTGATGGATGTGGGTACAGTTAAAATGTTTAAAAGACATTTGGATATGTACATGAATAGGAAAGACTTAGAGGTAAAAGGGCCAGGAGCAGGCAGGTGGGACTAGTTTAGTTTGCGATTATGTTCGGGATGAACTGGTTGGACTGAACGGTATGTTTCCGTGCTGTATGACTCTATGACCCTACAAACTTTCATGAGGGTCAGGACACACCAAATGCTTCTGTATCTAAAACTAGCTGAATTTCTATTCCAAGTTTCTATCCACTATCCTTTGTCAGAAATTCTGTTAGGCATGATCAAAACAACAGCTCTTAATGTAATGCAGTAATCCAAAGGAGCCCACAGAATCTAATCATAAAATATGGCTTAAGACTGGAGACAGGACAATTGAAAATTTATTTTAAACAGTGTGTAACAATTTCCATTTGTTGTTTTGGAAGGATTGAATTCAAGACTACCAGTTCCATGACATCTCTTACATCATTATTTCCTCTTCATTTTTGTTGTACAATTTTAAGTTTTCAATGAAGCCTCCGACAACATTCAGCATCAATACTCTGTGAAAAAGACAGCAACGTATGCAGTGTAAATGTGCACAGTTAAGTGTGGAAATTGGAAATTGTTGTCAGTGATATCCTGCTCCTCTGCAGGGTGCAATGTTGCAGTCCTTGGAGCTACACTTTTTATGCACTGCTCTTGTAAGAAAGTGCACTGAAAATGTCATAAAAACTGAAAGAACTGCGGATGCTGTAAATCAGGAACAAAAACAAAGTTGCTGGAAAAGCTCAGCAGGTCTGGCAGCATCTGTGAAGGAGTAAACAGAGTCAACATTTCGGGTCCGGTGGCCCTCCCTCAGAATACAATGTCATGTTCAATGAGGTGCAACTGAGCTTTTACTGGATTACTAAGTCGTAATTAATGCTGAATAACCACCCTGGCCCTGAAAGATTCCTTTTAGAAATCATTTATAGTATTAAAAAAAACATGGGTCTTCTGAAAAATTATTTTACGATAAAGTTCAATGATATTTTAGCTTCAGCTTTAATCTCATAGTCGTGTACAAATCTTTATTTCACTCTCTGTAAAATGATTAAAACAAGATTAAACAAAAAATATTTTTATCAATCTGTCCAGAGTTTCTATCACACACCTCTAGAACAGGTGTGCCTTGAACCTGGGCAGCCCAGTTCAGAGATAGGGACGCTACCACCGCACCACAAGATTAAAAAAAACGGTGTTGTTTTACTTTTGGGTTTTTTTGACTCTGAGAATCTCTCAGTACGATTGTCTGCTAAGATTGCTTGGTGATTTTCTGTTGCTGAACAGCAGAAATTTCCTTGTACTGGATACAGAATGATTTTTATTACATATTCGGGGAAATTGTCATCTCGGAGTTTGCGAGATTTTTGCGAACGATTTTCTTCAAGATCAACAGCAAGAACTGTTGCCTTCCCTTCGATGCAAAATCTGAGCCAAACAAAACTGCAGAATCAAATGCACTGTGAAGCTGTTGCAACCGTACTTTGTAAGGTATTGATCTTAGTTTGTGTATACAAACTAAACACAATGCCTTTAATTCAAACTATTTGGGAATTGCAGTTTGCAGTAAGTGGAAAAAAATAGTTTGTTTATACCAACTATAAATAAAGTCTTTAATTCAAAATATTTGGGAATTGCAGTTTGTAGTAAGTGGAAAAAAATAGTTTGTTTATACAAAGTATAAATAAAGTCTTTAATTCAAACTATTTGGGAATTGCAGTTTGTAATAAGTGTTGAAATTAGATAACCTATTACATGTGATTTCCAAAAATGATGATATATTAAATAATAGAAATTCAGTAAGCGAACTGGTGCACAATACGATGAAATAATGAAATACAGAAGGAGGGTCCAGCCGGTCTGGATAACCAGTCAATTCGAATACACTGAAAAATAGCATTTGATAAAAGACACCATTCCTCCAGGAGTCATAACACGTTGCTCATAAGTTGCCATCTTTCCTTTGCATTTAAAGCAGAAGTACTATTAGCATTTCTCCGATGAGATTACATGATATTTTAAGTTACTACACTTCCATGCATTTCTGGGGCTCTGATTCATATTCAGACACAACAGAATTTGCAAAGGCCTCCCACTGATGACTGATGAAGATATTGGGCACTACGTGTTTCAGCTATTGTAGCACAGCCCCTGCAAGCGCTGTGGGTTTAGCAAACAAATCTCAGGTCCCCTAATTCATAATGGCACGAAGAAGGTGGGATGAAGGGGACAGAATAAAAGCAGGCTTTTGTTTTTTGTTTGGTCATTTACAAATTTCACAAAGGGACTCATACATGGGCTGGAATGTACTTACAAAACCCGGAGATTCTTCAGTCCAACAAAGTCCATCTTCGAAATCCGTGTAATGTTGTTCTTGTCCAGATCACTGCGAAATAAAGAAGACCAATTGATAGGATGCTTTGGTATTGGGTTACTATTGGCGTAAGTGACTCTAAACAATAAAAGTTCACCAAATGCAGAACAACTGCATCAAAATGCATTACTGAGCCTCATAAGCATGCTGTTACTTCTTCATTTAACAAAGAAATATGTTAAACATGGGCATAAAAGCATTTTCCCATTAAATGGTCTTCTAAATAGTTTAGCTCCAGTTTATGACATGAACTACAATTACCTCTGGATCTTTATTCAGCTCAACCAAATGCATTGCAATAGTTAAAAAAAAATCAAAGGGGCAAACAGGCTTGCAATATATTGGTCCTCAATTTTTTTAACCAGATCCAATATTCGAGAATTACAGTTCAATCCCTTTCGAGACATTCATTCAGCTCACTGCTGTCTGCGTTTGGTTTGAAATTATGATATTTGGCATTATTTCCACATTAATAGAAAGTAATAAAAAACTGACCCTATGAAAAATTGGCTATAGATTTGCCAAGAGTCAATTTCACATGCTGGCATTAACCAATTTCATCCTCCAGTGTTTAATGTACAGCATATTACAAAGAGCAAACATCTGCAAAATATGCTTACAGCAGCATAATCAATGCTGAAGCTTAGCCGATGTCCATCCAAGCTTTGATCTCGGATTATGAATCATTCAATTGAAATTCTACCCAGCAACTCACTGCCAACCATCTATTATCCTGCAACTAATAGTAGGAGTATGGGCTCAGCTAGGAATGAAGAGGATTAATTTGATTATGGTGTGCGGCTATTGCTCTGTGATTATATTCGACACTTAAGCCCATGTTTTATCTACAGCTCCATTGTGTTGGCACTTCTTGATTCCTCATAATATGGATAGTCCCTTGGGTCTTGCATTTATCTGCCTTACCCAGTCCATTGTGGCAGTGATGCTTATATTTCCTCACCTTTGCAAGGTAAGGGCTGGGAACTCCACCGCAACCCCAATGTCAAAGAAGAAGTATTTTGTTGGTGATTCTTATCATTAAACAGACCTCACCTCTTGTCCCAGTCAAAGCATTCAGTCTCGCCTCTGAGTCAGAAGACTGTTGGTTCAAGTCCAACTCCAGAGAGAGATAATTTAAGCTGAAACTTCACTGCATTGCATTGTTGGAGGTACCACCATTTGGGTGAGACGTTAAAGCATGGCTCTATCTTGTCCCTTCACATGGATGGAAAAGATTCCATTCGCTATTCAAAGAAGAGTTGGGAAGTCTTGCTCATGTCTTGGGCAATATGTTTTTCCCTCAGCCAACATCACTGACAATCAAGCTGTTGTTACTTTACTGCTTATGAAATTTTGGCCACTGGGTTTCATTCATCCCTACAGTGTGGAAGCAGGCCATCGAGTCGACACTGATGCTACATGGGCGACCACACTCCAGAAAGCATGGGGCATCCTGAAGAAACGATTGGTTTCTTGAAACACAGCTTCTTTCCTTGTTGCCGTTTTTCCCTAAACAGATATAATTCTTCATTTTAACACGCATTTTGTGCACTTTGCAGAGCACCAGAGTATCAGTGAAGTAAATCCCAAGGCACTGCCTCACACAAACACAATTCCATCCGCACCAATATCCAAAAAGAGTGTTTAACCAGATGGGTACACTGCACTATGAAACTTTAGCCATGTAGAAAGAAGCGTTTGAAACCTGACATTCCTGATTTGCCACAGTGATCAATTTAATGGCATGAGTTGTTCCTGTTTCTGCATACAGGTCAACCCACTCTTGAGCAAACACGCTCGATGGACTACAAAGGATTTTAAATGCTCTCAGAAAGCACATTGCAAATTCACCACTGGTTTGATTCCTCATTAATGGGAGTAAAGTTGCCATTCCGCAGTTCAATCTGGATGCCTCACACCTCAAGTATTCATCATGCTTCACTTGTCTGTGTCTGAGGCCTCCCAGTGACATGTTCTTGCTGTTAAACATGTCTTTTGAACTGCTCTTTCCAATATCAACAGGCCAAGAAAAGCAGATGGACATAGAACGTAGAACAGTACAGCACAGTACAGGCCTTTCAGCCCACGGTGTTGTGCTGACCTATTATCCTACTAAGATCAAACTACCCTGCATACCTTACATTTTTCTATCCTCCATGTGCCTATCCAAGAGTTGCTTAAAAGTCTCTAATGTATCTGAGTCCACCACCACTGCCGGCAGCGCATTCCACACGCCCACCACGCTCTGTGTAAAGAACCTACCTCTGACATCTCCCCTACACCTTCCTCCAATCACCTTAAAATTATGCCCCCTCGTAGTAGTCATTTCCGCCCTGGGAAAAAGTCTCTGGCTATCCACTCTATCTACGCCTCTCATCATCTTGTACACCTCTATCAAGTCACCTCTCATCCTTCTTCGCTCCAATGAGAAAAGCCCTAGCTCCCTCAACCTTTCCCCATAAGACCTGCCCTCCAGTCCAGGCAGTAAATCTCGTCTGCACCCTCTCTAAAGCTTCCACATCCTTCCTATAATGAGGTGACCAGAACCGAACAGACATGATCAGCCTCGAATGATTCTGGATTGATTGCAGCTACAGCAGCTATGGCTAAAGAGCTCAAAACAGTCAGAATCTGAGAAGATCGAGGTTTCACTTGCAATTTGTAGCTGGAACTGTGGCTCACGGATTATTTTTCCAAATGAATCAATGTTTGGACCTTGGCTGGCTATAGCCCATTCCACACCTGACCTGGGAACTGTGGCTGAATGTAAGAAGTAGGATACAAGTCCCCTCCCAAGCTCAACTTCCTCACATTAATGAATACTGAAAACACTCAAACTTAAAAAGCACATCATCATGATATTCCTGTTCTTTTTAAAACTCTTTCATTGTCATCTTGTGTGGTTGCCACTTAACTCCTACTCTGTAGCTCAGAAAATTGTACACAAAATGCGTGTTGTAACACAGAATTTGGTCTATTTTGGGGATAAAAGCAACAAGAAAGAAAGAACTTATATTTCTATAACTTTAATCATGACTTCATACCACAGTCGGTTAACTTTTTTTTATAATCACTGTTGTATTTAAGGAAGCAAAGGAGTCAAGTTTTGCACAGCAAAATGCCTTACCAATCCAGTGTTATGAACTTAGTAGGAAGGCATTGTTTGGAACATCATTTTTAAACCTACATAGTAACCTCTGCTCTAAGTCTGGGCATCTAAGCAGAGAGATCACACTTATCTGACATGACTCAGCACTGAGACATGCTCAAAGTCACAAGTCATACAGCTCGGAAACAGACCCTTTGGTCCAACCAGTCCATGCCGACTGTAATCCCAAACTAAACTAGTCCCAACTGCTTGCCCCTGGCCCATTTCCGTCCAAACGTTTTCTATTTGTTTACTGATCCAAGTGTCTTTTAAACATTGTAATTGTACCCACATCCACCACTTCCTCAGGAAGTTCTTTCCAGGTGTGAACCACCCTCTGTGTAAATAAGTTGCCCCTCATGTCGTTTTTAAATCTCTCTCTTCTCACCTTAAAAATGTGTCCCTAGCTTTGAAATCCCCCATCCCAAGGAAAGGACAACTACCATTAACCATATCTATACCCCTCATGATTTTCTATAGGGTCACCTCTAAACCTCCCACGCTCCAGTAAAAAATAGTCCCAGCCGATCCAGCCTTTCTTTACAACTCAAACATTCCACTCCTGACAACATCCTGGTGAATCTCTTCTGAAGCTTCTCCGGCTGAATAATATCCTTCCTAGAACTCCTCCTACATAAAACAGGAACTTGGCCAATGTACCGATGTTATGGCAGAAGATGCTATCCCCTTTGAAATGTGTCCTGGCAAGAATCTCAATCTTCAAAAGAGAAGGATTCGGGAATTAGATGTGTGCAGCAATCCAAAATACAGGGAGACAGGAATAAACCTACTTGCTGAATTATGCTCAATCATTTGCAACTTCTAAAATAATGGGAACTGAAAAAGTTAACCCGGTCTGGTGTTTGTCACCCTGTAATTTAATTTAAGAGACACTCCACCCTGCTTCAACAGACCATAGTAATAACAATCTTAATGTCAGTGGTTGAACCATAAGCACAACCCTTTGCCAATTTTTCTGAACTGTGCAGTGGTGTGTTGTAGAGTTAATCATGATTGTAGGGACTCAGACTCTATCCTAATTATTTTCCCCTATCAACAACAATTTGTGTTCCATAAGTCTTTTTTTTAATGGCTCAGTTTTTATGCCAAGAACTATCTTGGATTCCACCTCTTGCAATTCTTTTTAAAACCTCCTGATACTTCTGTAACTACAGTGAAAACTGTCACACATCCTCCAAAGTTTGCCTTCATTGCTAATGTTAAAAACGCTAATTTAAATGATTGTGTGCCTTTGACATAGAATAAAGTCCAAAAAGTGCTATGAACCTCAACTAGATTTTAAAACTGGACACTGAATCAAAGCACATCATCAAGAAAAGTGATGAAAAGTAAGGTCAAAGAGGTATTTAAAGAAGGGAGGAAATGTGCAGAGACAGAGAAGATTAAAGAGGGAATGGGGCTAAGGCAGCTGAAGACATTGCCAGCAATAGCTGTTGAGGAGGGTGTACAAGAGGTTAGAGCTGGGACACAAAGAATTACTGGGGGTTTACAGGGTTCAGGGAGGTTAGAGAGGTAGGACAGACCATTGAAGGATTGAAACATGAGGATGATCACTTTAAACTGGAAGCATTGAGGAGCTAGGTGTCAATGGTGGATCAACTAAGATGGGAATAATAAGTGTGGCTTTGGTTTGGGACAGAATGTACACAGTAGAGTTTTGGATAAGCTGAAGTTTATAAAATATAGAGACAGGGAGACTGATGAGCAGGACATTGGAATAGTTACACCCGGAAATGCCAATGACATTGATGAGATGTTCTGCAGCAGAAGTGAACCATATTGGGAGCAGCAAGATCCCAGTTAGATACCTTGTTCATTTCGACAGCCTTCTGTCAGTTTCTTA